ATGAGAGGTGCGGGGTATTTCGATGACTCGTAATGGCTGTTGCACCGACTTGTATGTTAAGCTCGCGTGCGTTCCGAAACTTGGAGGCATCTTGGGGCCCTCTTGGGATTCTTTTGGGCCCCTCTTGGGGCCTCCTGGGGCTTTTTCTCGGGGCTCTCCTGAGGTCCTCTTAGGGCCTTTTTGGAACTTCTTGGGGCTCTTTTTTGGCGTTTTGGGGCCCTCTTGGGGCTCTTTTGGGGGTCTGTGGGCCTTTTTGGGGCTCTTGGGGGTGGTCTGGGGGGCCTCCTGGGGCCTTCTTAGGCCGCGTTGATCGAAAAAATGAGGGGTTTTAGTTCGGATCGCCCCCATCGGAGGCTCAAAATGCCCTCTTGGGGCCCTCTTGGCCCGCTCGTGAAGCGCTCTTGGGAGCTCTTGGGGCCGTCTTGGAGCCATCTAGAGGCTTCAAAAGCCCATCGGAGGCGAAAAAACGAGAAGGCACACCATATTGATTTTCCTCAGGTTTTCGAAGGATTTGGGCCTCTTGGGGGGGGTCGTGGAGGCTTCGGAGGGCACTTGAAACCGTATTGGGGCCGTCTTGAGGTCTCTTGGACGTGTGTCGGAGGCTATTTCGACCCATCTACCGCAATTTTGGACCATCTTGGAGGCCATCTTGCGCTCTGTGAAGCCCTCTTGGACCAAAAAGGACCCTCTGCCACATCGCGGTGGAGCCCGTCCAGACGCAAGGAGGGGGGGAAGGCAAACCTCCCGAGCAGGGAAAGGAAGGAGGTTGGAAAAGGAAACGCCCTAGACCACCTGCGCCCAGAGGGCTTGTGGGATTTCCGGGTCGGGAGGGTGGGGAGGGGAAACTCATCGTATCCTCGATTTTGCTTCACAATTGTTTTGAAGGTGCTGATTACAGCCGTACCTTCTATCTGCCCAACCCTTTCTTCCCAAAGCGATCATTGTCTCTCTCACACACAAACATGTGGGACGCCGCCGGAAAAAAACTTGGTCACCAAAAGCAATCCTCCCTCCTTCCTCCCTCTGCTCCCTTTGCCCCGTTCCCCGACCCCGGTTCCGATTCCGGCGCCCATCTTTCCGACCCCGGCCGTGCCCGAATCCAGCTCCGACACTTGCTCCCGCTTCTCCGACCCAGGTTCCCAATGCCTGCATCCAGCTTCTGAGCGGCCAGCCCATGCCGGCGGCCCGACGCCCACCCGCAGCACCCTCGTAGATGCCTTGGCGCGGGCTCTTGTCTGTCTGTCTTGTCTTTGTCCTTGTCTCCCTCTTCCTCCTCCCTGCTCCCGCCTTGCGCGCCACTCCTCCTGACACACTTGCACCGTGTGCATACTGCCCTCCTCTTTCCTCTGGCTCTGTCCGGAAGATGCTCGGCCCTCTCCGCGCTCACGCACTGGATTGTGCAAGCGTGTTTTTTGTCGTATGGCCTTGTTGTGATGCCATTGCTTTCGGTGTTTAAAAACGGTGTCCCCGCCGATGCGCGGGCATCATTTTCGGACCTGCGCTTTGCTCCCGTCGTTGAGAATGGCGCTCTAGCCCCAGCGCAGGCCACTTTTCGGAGTCCGAGTCCTTATTGGTCGTTGTCGCCCACCTCACTTCCCGCCCTCCGCCTTCCCTTGGCCCTCCCCCATCCTTGCACTTCAGCTCATGCCGCTGCTGCTGCTGCTGCTGCTCGTCCTCGTCCTCGTCCTCGTCGTCCTCCTGCTCTTCCTCCTCCTCCTCCTCCTCTTCCTCCTCCTCCTCCTCCTCCTCCTCCTCCTCCTCTGCCTCTTGCTCACCTTCCTGCTCGTCCGCCACCTCCTCCCCCCTTTTTGTCCCGAGTGCGCGTGACACCGTGGGGTTCTTTTTGGAGTTCCAGGTCCTCCGTGACACGGGTCGGCGGATGGAGAAAACATCCAGCGCAGTGGGAGCGCACTGAGCTTGCCCCTTGCCCCTCTCCCACCTCCCTGCCCTCCTCTCCCTACACTCTTTCATCAGTCCCTCCCTCGTCCCCTCCTCCTTGATTCCTCGTCCTTCATTTTCTCGCACTTCCCCTCGCCTCCCGCTCTTTCCTTTCCCTCTGTATCCTGCCGTCAGCTTGCGCTGCCCACTGCTGATTGTTGTGTTCTTCACTGAGTTAGGGCTCGACGCTAGCCCACGGCCCAATCAACTTCTGCATCCTCGGGAAGCAGCCCGAAAGTTTCGCAGACCACCTGGAATTCGTCAAGGCGTCGAAGAACTGCTTCCACATCCGACTGGTTCACTGAATTAGGGCTTGACGCTAACCCACGGCCCAATAAACTTCTGTATCCTCGGGAAGCAGCCCGAAAGTTTCGCAGACCACCTGGAATTCGTGAAGGCGTCGAAGAACTGCTCCCACCTCCGCCTGGTTCCCGGCTCCTGGTGGCTGCATGTGGCCGTGCTGTGCTGACGACGCCTCCCCCCCCCTCCCAGGGCCGGGCGGCCCTGGGGCGGGTGATCACACTAAATTGCCAGGTCATTGCGTGATATATATATATATATACACATACACTTGTACATGTCAGAAGCGACAGACTGGGGAGAGGAAGAGGGAAGAAGCAGGACGCTCATGATCGCGAAGGAGAGGGGAGGGATGTGTGGCCGATGGCGGTGGCTCAGGCGTGGGTGCAGCAGGTGGCGGCCGCCGTGGCCAATACCATGGCGGCCATCCGCGGCCCCCTTCCCCCCCACTTGAAATACCACCCCCTCCATATCATAGTGCGCGTGCGGCTTGTGCCTGCGAAAAAACAGGCGAGCGGTAGGGGGGACGTTCAGCATGGCTAGACAGTGAGCAGTAGGCGGCGGGGCTCAGCTAGGGTCGTGAGGCGTGGCAAAAGGGGGGGGTGGAATGTGCAGTTAGAGAAGTGGGGAACCGGTACGGCGCAAGCTGTGATCTCGTTGATCGGTGATTGGCTAGCTGATGTGCCTGGGTCTAGCCACCAGGGCCTTCGCCGTGATGGCCAGAGATGAGCTCTTCACCCCCCCCCCCCCAATAAAGCCCACCCACCCTCTATCTGGGGACCGCGTGCTGCACAGGTGGCGGCTGATGCTGAGGCTGAGGAGGTGGCCGTACGAGGAAAGGAAGAGAGCAGTTCAGAGAGCACGGCTGGAGAACAGATGGTTGTGTGTACAGTGCGGGCAGTGGCCCCGCTCGCCACGGCCGTGGCCACGCGCGGCGCTTGTCTCCTCGGCTGCACGGTTGCCCTGGTGGCGACAAGTGCGGCCGCCTGGCTACTTGAGGTAAGGTTAACACGAGGAAGGCGGATGAGGCGACAGCTGTTGGCAGTTGGCGGCCGCGTTCCCTGCCCACGCTCGCCGGCGGTGGTGGGACATCCACGCTCGCCGAGATAGGGTGGCTAGCCACCCTCACCAAGGAGGAAGGCGTAAGGGCCTCCCCCCCTGCACACAGGAATCCCTCCAAATCGTTCCCCATCCTCACGACTGGTACCCTCCCCCTCCAGGCAGGAGTAAGGCATCCAGACCGCCGGGGTGGGAGCCACTTGGGGGGGTCCACCGTGCGTGGGGGAGGTTTATGCCTTCCGTGCTGTTTCATTGCCTTGCCCTTGCCCTGGTTGATCTTGTTCTTGCCCTTCTTGCTCTGGCCGTCTATCTCGTAGTCGTTCTTGGTGGCGTTTCCCTTGCCACTGTGGTTGTTGCCCTTGCCGCTGTGGGTCTTGCTCCAATGCGTGTCGGGGTGGTCCTTGGCCCACTGGTCCGTCCAGTTTTAATTCCTCCAGCTCTCGAGGCCTGCCCCGACCGCTGGTGTGGTGGTTCTTGGCGTCGGCCCCATGCTTCGAGTGTGGCTCGATGTCGATCTTCAGGGCGGAGGCGCAGTTCCCGAGCCACTCGCGGTTGATCCCCGTGGGGCAGCTATGGTTGGTGCTGGAGGTGAATGTCGTGGTGGCTTTTGGGCACTGTGGTGCGCTCGAAGTAAACCTCGTGCTTCGTGAGGCCGAAGCATGACGCGGGCGTCAGCACGCTGTCGACTGAGTCGCCCATGCCAGCTGGGTGATCTGGATCTGGATCTTGCCGTGGGTGCAGACGGGTTCGGGCGGGGGCGGCTACCTCCTCATTTCTACCTTGGCCACCCGCTTGCTCCTAATTCTTACCTTGGACAGACTCTTAGAGACAGAGCTCGCAGAGTTAAACCTCTCCTGCTCCTCCTCCTCCTCCTCCTCCTCCTCCTCCTCCTCCTCATCCTCCCTCTCCCTCTCCTCCTCCTCCTCTTCCTCCTCCTCCTCCTCCTCCTCCTCCTCCTCCTCGTCCTCCTCCTCCTCCTCCTCCTCGTCCTCCTCCTCCTCATCCTCCTCCTCCTCTTCCTTCTCCTCCTCCCTATCCTGTTCTCCCTCATCCTCCCTTCCTCTGCTCCTCCTGCTCCCCGTCCTTCGGCCGCAGCGGAGGAGAGCAGGGCCATCCTGGAGGAGGCCCGCGCGGCGGCGTCGCGAGCCTGGTAGAGGGGAGGGGAGGGAGGTTTCTTGGGGGAGGCTCGCTCGGCCAGGAAGCTCAGGCGATCGCAAACATGTACTAAGAGGGCGTGGATTAGCGACGGGCCCCGTTTCCATGGCTAATCGCGAATTTCCGCCGCCGAGCGAGGCAGCACCGACCGCATTTTGGGGAGGGCCCCCCCCCCCGATCCATGGATTTGGCGACCGCGCGCCAAATCCATGGATCGTTAATCCATGCTTGCGCGCCCCCGAGAAGCGTTGGGCGCACGTTTTTTTATGCAGGAAGTCCTGTGGCACGGAGTAGGGGGGGGTGAGAGGAGGAGGATTGGAGAGGAGGGGGAAAGGGAGGGGGGAGAGCTGAAACACAACGGGGCGGAAGTTGGACGCATATGACGTGGCCAGCCTTGGCGAGAGCTGGATACGCGTGCGGCCTCACATGTCTCCATCCAGCTCAGCGCTCGGCCCTCGGATGTGTACAAGTGAGCCCTACCCTCCGCATTGTTTCAGGAGGACAGGGAGGAGGAGGAGGAGGAGGAGGAGGAGGAGGAGGAGGAGGAGGAGGAGGAGGAGGAGGGAGAACGGCAGGAGGAAACGGAGGACAATTTGGAGGAACGGGAGGAGAAGGATGAGGAGGAGGAAGAGGAGGAGGAGGACGAGGAGGAGGACGAGGAGGAGGACGAGGAGGAGTCCTGGAACTTCCTGGGGCTTTCTGGGGTTCCGTGAGGGGCCTTTTGAAGCTCCCTGGGGCTTCCTGGAGTTTCCTGAGATTGCCTCCTCCTCCTCCTCCTCCTCCTCCTCCTCCTCCTCCGCAGGCCGGCCCCGCGGCCGAGCGGGCTCGGGCTCCGCACACCGGGCTCGGCTCGGCCCTCCCCCGGCCCCCAGCGTTGCGCAAGGGCGGCGTCCGCGAGCGGGCGGGGCTCCGGGCGTCCTGCCCCCGCCCCCGCGGGGCATCCTCTGAGCCACGGCAGATTCTTCTTCTTCTTCTTCTTCTTCTTCCCCTTGCAGGGGCGAGGAGGATGAGCATGCAGGAGGAAGGATGGAGGAGGAGGAGGAGGAGGAGGAGGAGGAGGAGGAGGAGGAGGAGGAGGAGGAGGAGGAGGGGAGGAGGAGGAGGAGGAGGAGGAAGGAGGAGGAGGAGGAGGGGGAGGAGAGGAGGAGGAGGAGGAGGAGGGAGGAGGAGGAGGAGGGAGGAGGAGGAGGAGGAGGGGGGAGGAAGAAGGAAGAGGGAAGAAGGACGACACGGAGACCTTCTTCTTCTCCTTCTTCTTGTGCTTCTACGTATTATTATTCCTGTGTTTCTTAAATGTTTTGTTATTCTGTTTAGTGTTTTTATCATCATGTTGCTTCTTGTTGCGTTCCTCCTCCCTCTGCTTCTTTTTCTTCTTATGCTTGTTTCTGGTTCTTCTGCCTCCTCCTCCCCCTCGCCCCCCCCTCCCCGGAAGGTTTTTGCCCCGGTGCCCGAGGGCGCCAACCTGCTGCCGTCGAGCGCGGCGGGCGGCCTGGGCGTCCTGCTGCTCCGGGGCGAGGCGGCGGCTGGCCGCCGATCGACCGCTGCGGCGCGCGGAGGGTTTCGCCGAAGGGCTTAGGCGACCCGTCCTCCTCCTCCTCCTCCTCCTCCTCCTCCTCCTCCTCCTCCTCCTCCATCCTCCACCCTCCATCCTCCATCCTCCATCCTCCATTCCCCTCCTCCTCCTCTTCCTCCTCCTCCTCCATCCTCCACCCTCCATCCTCCATCCTCCATTCCCCTCCTCCTCCTCCTCTTCCTCCTCCTCCTCCTCCTAACGTCTTGGGAGCCACCAGGAGATTTGAAGTGGGAGTTCCCAGACGAGAATTTCACGGGCCTTCCCGCGTTAGATAATTTCAAGGAGTTCATTGCCGACGTCAGAGCTGCAGCCATGGCGCCCTTCTGGCGACAGGCCGAGCGCCACCTTGACGGGGAAGGCCTGGGCGGAGGTGTCAATACTTATACGCCCTAGAGATTGGTGCATCGTCTTCGGAGCGTTCGGCCTGGAGGCCCTCGGCTCGCGGGACGTCTTCTCAACATCGCTGTGGGTGGTGCTTGGCCCAAGGCCAGGAGATGAACAGCTGTCCCGACCACGGAGCATCGAGTCGTCTTCAGTGAATATGCGGGGTGCATCGCAGGCAATTTATTGTGATCGTTGTGGGCGTGAGCGGGAGACATCATATCATCGGTACTGGCGCTGCTCCAAGAACAGTGGTTCTGCAGCTTACACCAAGAGCGAGTGCTTGGAGGGGGAGGCCAGGACACAGCACGACATGCACGAGTGTTTCTGGCTTCGCGGCCTCATTCCAGCTGGCTGGACCAAGATGTCCCCCGCTCCAGATAATCATTGTTGGTGCAGTGAAGGTCTGAATGACGGAGTTTTCGAAGGTTGTTTGCCAATGGGATATGTGGCTGCACCTACGGCCATATTTGGAGACGCCAGCGGTGGTCCAGACACTGCCGACTCCCGATTGAGAAGAGTTGCCCTCGGGATCGCCACGGTCTCTGACTACATCAACCCTGCCGTCGAGTGTTTCATCACAGGCCCGTTGACTTGCAGTCGGCAGGTTTTTGGACGCGGAGAACTCCGCGCCCTTTGGTTAGCTATATGGGCGAGTCAGGGCGCGATCACTTACACCACGGATTGCGAGAACGTGCTCAAGGGCTGGCAGGCCCAGAGGTACATCCATCACCACGGGGAGGACAGCGACGAGTGGGCTAGGATCGGCCAGTTGCTTGCACACCGTTCGGCCGAGCTCGTGGAGGTCCGCTTCGTGAATTCCCACCTCACAGGCGACGATGTCTGTCGAGGCTGTGCAGGGTCATGGCAGGTTGTGGGCAACACTATCATTGATGAGCTAGTAAGGTTAGCCGCCCTCCAAGCACGGCTGCTCGAGCATGTTCGACACGAGCTCTGGCAAGTCGAGCGGCGTGCTTGTCTGGTTCGGCACAGGATGCTCCGAGCTTTTGTGGATGTGCTGGCCGCGGAGGCCGAGAAAGGGGTGAAGGAAAAGGCGGGTCCTCCTCCTCCTCCTCCTCCTCCTCCTCCTCCTCCTCCTCCTCCTCCCCCTCCTCCTGCACCGTCTGTAGTAGCTGCACTTATGTCACAGCACCAGCTCGATGATTCGGGCTTGAAATGCTCCATGTGTTTTGGCACGGCCACCCAGGCCAGAGCCACCGAGTGGAAACGGTCCCCTTTTGCGTCTGAACGGGAATGGCGAATTTCACACACCCTTAGCGGGGGGCTGGGTGCACGGAAGTCATCAGATGAAGTTGAGCACGTTTCTTAGTTTGTGGTTCTGCGTGGTACGCGGGTCATTTTCCAGCAAGCGGAAATCCGCCATCCAGGACCGATGTCAGTTGCGTGGCACGGCGACGGGTGAAGAGTACATCAGGAGGATTCTTTCGAGACTGTGGCCGAAGGTCTTGAGCAAGGCCGAGCGGGCCAGCCGACAGGCCAACTCGAGGAAGCCCCCCCCCTCTTCCGCCCTTTAAAGCCAATTTTCCTCACTTAGTGAACCGACATTATCATTATCATTCTCCTCCTCCTCCTCCTCATCCGTCTCCTCCTCCCCCTCCCCCTCCTCCTCCACCTCCTTCTCCATCTCCTGCTCCCTCTCCCCTCCTCACCTCCTCTCCTCCTCTTCCCCTCCTCCTCCTCCTCCTCCTCCCTCCTCCTCCTCCTCCTCCTCCTCCTCCCCCTCCACTTCCTCCTCCTCCTCCTCCCCCTCCACTTCCTCCTCCTCCTCCTCCTCCTCCTCCTCCTCCTCCTCCTCCTCGGGTCGCCTACGGCCACAGGGGAAACCGTGCACGCTGCGGTGACCACGCCGTGCGCCGGTGATTTGGGCCACGGGGAGCCCAGATACTCGCGTCGCATAAACATCGCGATGGGAGGTTTTTCGCTACTCTCACGTCGGGCCTGTCCCTCTACAGGGGGAATATCCAAAACAAATTGAAAATAGTATTGGTATTTGGGTGTATTTGGGTATTTGGGTGTATTTTCTTTTAGGTTTTCTATGTTCTCCCCAAATCCGCCAGTAGGGGGACATGCCCGGCAGAACGCTACTCTCGGCCTCCAGGGGCCCTTCCTGGGCCTCGGGACCGTCAAAAAACGATTCAGGATGGAGAACCGGTCCCTAGGAAGGGGTCCATTGGACCCCTTCCTGGGGTCCTGTTTTCCATGGGGGAAGCGATGGAAACACTTCAGGGCGGAGGTTGAGGGGGGAGAGCGAGCAACACAAAGTAATACAGATTAGCAGGAACGCCTAAGCACCGGAACCATTCAGAGTGCACATTTGGGACCATGAAGCCACAATTTCTGCCAAGTCCATGCCGTCGGGGCTAGGACGGCGATCCATTAGGCAGACAGCTGCACTGGACAGAAGACCTATCTTGAACCAAATTCATGCCCCAATGGCGCCTTGCACTTGCACGCGGGGTGTGGGCGCGGAAGTCACGCAAGTCGAAAAGCACTTGCACACTTTTTCGGCCCAGTACTATGTGAATCAAAAGCGGGGGGGGAGGGGCGAACTGCCATGCAAGTAAACTTGCCTGATGTTTCCTTTTTTTGAAAAACAGGCTTCAGACCTCTGGGGGTCGACGTTGTGAAAAAAATCACGACGTCGGGGGTCTGGGACCAACGCCACGGTGAATTTGGGTTCCCCAGGTGCTCCCAAGGGCTTCCCGGGAGCTTCCCGTGGCTCCTTGGGTGCTCCCAAAGCTCCCCAGGAGCTCCCCGGGGCTCCCCGGGTGCTCCCAGGGCTCCCGGGGGCGCGGCCGGGAGGGGGGCTCCGATGGCCGGGGGGGATCTCAGTCCAGGCCTCCCAGAGGGGGTCCGAGCAGGCGGGGCTGGTGGATCGCGCCGCCTCGCCGATGCATCGGGGATGTGGCTCGATGTGGAGCCAGATTTTCTCCACGCTGGCGTCGCCGATGCATCGGCGATGCGGTGCGATCCACCGACCCCATCTACTGGGACCCCATCTGGAGGCCTCCAATCGTGGCCAGGGCCATTCTACCTAACCAGATTTCATGGCGCCTCTTCTGAAACTGACGAACAGGCACAAGTGCCGACACACATCATCCGCTGCAAGCGCGCTGGCAGATATTAGGATGAGGAGTATGCAAAGAAGACAGGAGTGCGCGTATTTGTTCGTGCGGTCGGGGAGTTGTCGCCTGAGGACGAGCCAAGCATGAGCAGTAGTAGCAAGGCGAGGTTAGACAGAGGTGGCAGGGTTAGTGGTAGAGGAATCATATACATCGTGCATGTTCGCGCGCGTGTCGTCTTGCAGTAGAGGAGCGCGTATCCAGCAGGGTCGATGTCGCACGAACTACCGCATACACCGCATCCCCCATGCTGTGCATGCAGCATACATGTCTAGACTTTCAGGGTATTGCATGCATGAAGTCTCGTCTAGATTTTCAGGGTACTGCATACATGTGCGCGTGTATTGGCATCTGGCCCGTTTTCTGATTCTGGGGCGCACGGACTACAGTCAATCCGCATAGCAAGGATGAGCAACTTTCCAAGGTTACCGGTGCATCCTTCCCCTTCGGCCCATCCTTGGCCGCTTTCGCTGGCCGCGCCCCGCTCGCAAAGTGTCGACGTGGCCTTGCAAGGCCCTTGCATCCTCATCCTGCGTCCTTATTATACGGGTTGACTGTAGGCGAGTGTCCGCCCAGTCGGTAATCTAGGCTCCCTCTTGTGGATTATGACTGTTATCAGCTAGCAGTTCTTTCAAGCCCCTGTGTACGCATCGTGCGTATCTCGCCCTTTCCGTCTCCCTCCCGTCTCCCCCTTCTCCTTCCTTTCGTTCCCTAGAGCTGGTTATTCCTCTCCCCTCGAATCGGCGTCGGCCCCGCCATCCGAGCACAAATGCGGGGGGGCTTGCTTAGGATTGACTGATGTATATGGCTATGCTCAGGTCGCTGTCCAAGCCCATGTCTAGCGAGTGAATTATTCGTTCAAGTTCATGCTCCATGGCAATGGATGAATCAGTTGATGTCGGTGAGCCAATGAGTCAGGCTTACACCATGCGGGATAACAGAGCAACAATCCCACAGCAGTGTTTGCAGCCATGTGCAATGAGTGCTGCTAGAGTCCGTTGGCATTGCGCTAAAATTGCCGTATGGTGCGTCATAGGAACTCGCAACGCATGGTTTGCCTGGACATTGCCAGCGGCCTGTTGCTATAATTCCTGAGATGTTGTAGTCCTTCGGGCTTTTATCAATATCTTCGTTCAGCCCACGCTGGGAGGTGAGCAATTCATCATATTTCTTTGGGACGTCTGCTTGCCAATGAGGCGCGGTCACCCGCAATACACGTTCATATTGCGAAGGCCTTACCGCCGGTGCCGCCGACCCTGATGGGGGACGACGGCGACGACGGCGACGGCGACGACGACGACGGCGACGGCGACGACGACGACGGCGACGGCGACGGCGACGGCGACGGCGACGGCGACGGCGACGGCGACGGCGACGGCGATGACGACGATTGGACCGTCGGTTTGTCAACGAGGCGCGGCCACCCGCGCTGCACGATTCCATGTTTGAGCCGGGCTTGTCCCGCTACAGGAGGAAGTTTCCAAAAGCAGTAAAAAAAATAGGCTGGGGACGATCTTTTCGACTAGCTTTGCCTATGTTTGAAGATGTTTGCACATGTTTGATTATTTTTTTCTCCGAAATGCGCCTGTAGGGGGACATGCCCGACCTAATCCTATGTCTTGCCGCCGGTGGTGAGGGGGGGCCGCGGCGCGGCACGGCGGCGTGACCATCGGGCGTCGGCGACCTCCTCGCCCCGCCCCCGCCGCGCCGCGCAGATCTCGAAGGGCAGGGCCACGGTGCAGGCGCGCGCGGCCGCCCCCGGATCGAGCCGGAATCGTTCTGTTGCATCCTCGGGGGGCCTCATCAGTCCCTTCGCGGCCCTCTCCGCGTCGAATCCATGCGGAGTCCATGGCGGACTCGTCGGATCCGTATCGAACCCGCGTCGAGTCCACGCCAAGTCCGCGTCGAGTCCGCATCGGGCCCGCGTCGGGTGCTTCGGCGACCGCTCGCGAGTCTGCGCTCCCGGCGCCAGGGTTTAGCAAGCAAGCAGTGGCGCAGCGTCCTGGCTCGCCTGTAGCCCTACCAAGCGATGCTCTAAGAACCTGTCTGGTGGTTTCCACGAGATGTTCTTAGAACATTCCTGGCGGAGTCCGTTTTGTTTTATCACATTGGGCTTATGTTCTAAGAACATGTTTTTCGTTCTTAGAACAATTTTGGGTTCTAAGAAAATTTCGTGGTAGGACTGTAGGAATGCCAGGACGGTCGGTCCCTGCTCAAGTTTAAGTCGGGCCTGTCCCTCTACAGGGGGAGTGTTCAAAAGTACACAGGGGGTACTATAGTTTTGACCATAAGACGTCATGCTGTCGACGCCCCCTGCCCCCCCGTAGAATCTTAGCGACATGTTTTGGGTCGGGCGGCGGTTCGACTCCGATGGGCTCTCACCCTGTAAGAATATACTAATATATATATATATATATATATATATATATAACAGGGTGATAATTACTCCGTCCCATTTACAGTAGGGCCGGAAAACACTCCGACTTGAACCCATTCACAGTAAACCACTCCGCTTGGGTCACGTTTGATCGTCCGTGTCATCATCCCCATCGACCCTGTCCTTATCATGCCAACGCGATGTTTCATTGTATTCCTTGTTGCATTGATGGTGTGAGACCCTGGGCATCCTTCTCCAATGCGGTCGCTCTCGGTTCACTGGTTGGCCGTCCCAGAGGGCCCACAAAGGCTCGCGAATCCGCATCAAGGCACCTTTGCATCCTGATCGGTCCTCCGCGGCACGCGTGACCAGCGAGGCAATTCTCATCTTATGGTCAAAAACTTTAGCACCCCCGAAGTAGTTAAAGAATTGTATGGGGACTCGTTTTTGAGTATGGTTGATCATTTTTGTTTTTATTTTTGTTTTTTATTGTTTGGCTATTTTTCTCACTGTTCGTCCACAGTCCGCCTGTAGGGGGACACGCCCGACCTAACACCAGGGTGGGATCGTCAAGTGGCAAATCATGGGAGCCTTGCGTACCGTCATAGGTCCGTCCTCAGCGTGCACTGGCGTCGATCAGCGTCTGGTAATCGATGGGGTCGCGCCGATCAGCGTCCATCAGCGTCGATTTGGCGTCGACCAGCGTCGATGAACGTCGATTCGCAAGAGCCAACAGGATGGTATGGCAGGCCACCATGAGTTGTCACCGAAGGATTCGTCTCTGGCCCTCGTGAAGGCAGCTGTGGGCCCAGGTTGGTGCGGGCCTTCGAGGCACGAGGGGTGCGGTTCCCGGGGCGCTCCGCGGTTCGATTCGGACGCTGCGCTTCCTTTTTCTGATTGGTCGATTGGACCGCTTCGATCGGTGAACGCATTCGATCTGTTCAGTTAGAGCGGTTCGCTTCGATCGATCGGTTCGGTTCTCCCACTTGACCATCCGTGAAGCCCTTGCAAGTGTTTTGAAGTCATCCGCGAAGGCGAGCGCCACGTTTTGAAAACGACCCGTCCCCAACCGTGAAATTCTCGCAACACTGCAGGTTCAGGATCATACATGGTGATGGGGGTTCACGCGAAACGCCCGGCCCGCCTCATCGACCCGCCTCGGGGTGCTACAGGGAGGAGTTGTCTACAAGAAAGGGGGATGGAGGAGGAGGAGGAGGAGGAGGAGGAGGAGGAGGAGGAGGAGGAGGAGGACAACTGCATTCCCAAAACTCATCAGTGATGTTGCAATTTGCTTTCCCGCCACGCTCCTTCGCCACAGGCCTCTACAAGGACTTATTTTCGCTGAGGACGGAGGCGCCCCCTGGAAGACAGCCGGTTGAAAATCCTGAACCGTGCCAGAGCACCATTCCTGGGACGTCAAGTCCACGAATCAACCTTACTGTCGCGTCTTGACAATCATGGATCGTGCCAAAACACCCCCCCTGGGCCTTCGATACCTTGAACCAACATAGCCTTTGTGCCCTGACAGCCCTACATCGATCCCAGTCACCATGTCTGGGATGTTAACCATGCGAACCGTTGAAACTGCTGCACACGTTTAAGACGGATGCGCGCGGTGCTAAGGCGAGAGCCACCGTTTGAAAAGGCACCACCCTCCATCCGTCAAGCTCTTGCAACTTCAAAGATGATTATGCGCGGCGCTGAGGCGACAGCAAGGAGCCGCCCTCCATCCGTGAAGCTCCTGCGACTTGTTAAGACGAGTATGCGCGGCGTTGAGGCGACAGTTACAGTTTGAAAACGGCCCGCCCTCCATCCGCGAAGCTCCTGCAAAGTTTTAGGACGAACGTGCGCGGCACTCAGGCGAGAGCGACCCGTCCTCAATCCGTGAAGCGGTCGGAAATCTAAGGCTTCAGGATCATAATTCGTGGGGAGGCTCAGGCGAAACGCCCGGCCCGCCTCACCGATCTACCTCGGGGTGCGACAGGGAGGAGTTACGTACAAGGAAGAGGGAAGGAGGAGGAGGGAGGGGGAGGGGGCATGGAGGGGGGGGGGGGCCAGGGGGAAGGGGGAGGGGGGGCTTGTGCGTGGGAGGGCGGAGTGGGGAGCGGAGCGAGGGAGAGGGCAGGGGCAATTAAGGGAGAGGGGCAGGAAGGAAATGAGGAGGATGGGGAGATGGATGGATGGGACGGAGAGGAGATGGAGGCAAGGGGGACGGAAGGAGGGAGGAGGGGAGGACAGGTAGGAGGGTTCGACTTGTGGCACTGCAGCCAGAGGTGCTTTGACCCCCGTCTCTTACGGTGCATTCCGAGGATGCCTCGCAGCTGTAGTGGCTCCACATGTTTCCTTTCTGCGGGCCCGCCGCCAGCTCGAGGCTCCGACCCGAGGAGGCGCGGACCGCCGTGCTCTTTCCGCGGCATCGGAGGTCCCTCCTCCCTCAATCCCCCCTCCTTCCCACCGGTCAGGAGGAGAAGGTGGAAGAGCAGGCAGGCAAAGCAGAGGAGGAGGAGGAGGAGGAGGAGGAGGAGGAGGAGGATATTGGGATTGAGGAGGATATTGGGATGGAGGAGGTGGGAAAGAGGGAGGAGAGGAGGAAGAGGAGGCGGAGGGAGGAGGAAGAGGAGGAGGGGGAGGAGGAGGAGGAGGAGGAGTAGGAGGAGGGATATGAGTTGACGAGGAGACGAGGAGGAGAGGAGGTCGAGGTGTAGGAGGAGATTGAGATTGAGGAGGAGGAGGGGAGGGGAGGAGGAGGCGGATGTTGAGATTGAGGAGGAGGAGGAGTGGGAGGAGAGGAGGAGGAGGAGGCGATTGAGGAGGAGGAGGAGGAGGAGGAGGTAGGAGGAGGCTATTGAGTTGGGGGGAGGAGAGGAGGAGGAGGAGAGGAGGAGGGGAAGAGGTGTGGAGGAGGATATTGAGATTGAGAAGGAGGACGAGGACGGAGGAGGAGGGGCGGAGGAAGAGGAGGAGGAGGAGGAGTAGGAGGAGGAGGAGGAGGAGGAGGTTATTGAGATTGAGGAGGAGGAGGAGGAGGAGGAGGAGGAGGCGGATATATGAGATTGAGGAGGAGGAAGGACGAGGAGGAGGAGGAGGAGGACGAGGAGGAGAGGAGGATAGAGGAGGAGGAGGAGCGGTGGAGGAAGGATGTGGAGGATTGTGATGGAGGATATAGAGGATGAGGAGGAGGATGAGGGGAGGAGGAGGAGGGGAGGAGGAGGGAGAAGGGAGAGGAGGATATGAGACGAGAGGAGGAGGAGGAGGAGGTGGAGGAGGAGGGAGGAGGGGATATTGAGGTTGAGGAGGAGGTCGAGGAGGAGGAGGATGGAGCAGGGAGGTGGTGGAGTATATTTGAGATTGAGGAGGAGGAGGGTAGGAGGAGGAGGAGAGGAGGAGGAGGAGGAGGACGAGGAGGAGGAGGAGGAGGAGGAGGAGGAGATGGAGGAGGAGGAGGCGATGAGGAGGAGGAGGAGGAGGAGGAGGAGGAGGAGGAGGAGGAGGAGGAGCAGGAGGAGCAGGAGCAGGAGGAGGGGCCGCCCACTCGCAAGTAGCAGCAGGCACAGCAGAGATAAGGGCCTTCGCCGGATCCGGCGGCGACCGGGGCCTCAGGTCGCCATCGTGGACAGCGTCACGCCGCGGAGGGGCTGGACGGTGCGGCCCCCGCTCGCCTCCCGGCCCGGAGCCCTCCCCTCGCCCTGCGCTCCATCTCCTCGCGGCTCTTCCTCCTCTCCCTGCTCGTGCTCCTCCTCCTCCTCCTCCTCGCTCCAGAGCCCCCCCCATCGATCTTTAGAGGGGCAGCCCAGAGTCGTGCAGAAGTCCACAGGGACGCCATCAGGCCTTCCCCACAAGCTGCCCGCAAGCGACCTCCTCATCCTGCCCCTCCTCCTCCTCCTCCTCCTCCTCCTCCTCCTCCTCCTTCTCCTCCTCCTCCTCCGTCCTCCTCCCTCCTCCCTCCTCCATCTGTCTCCCTGCTCCCCCGATGCCCACCCCTTCCCCCCTTCCTTCGATTCCTCTTTCCTCCACGCCCTCCTCGTCCTCCTCCCGGATCTCCTCTGCTCAAGTCCCTCCTCCTGCTACACTTCCCTCCGTCCCCGCGCCCCTCTCGGCTCCGTCGTCGGCGCGGCGTCAGCGAGCCCGCCGCGCCGGGCGTCGGCGTCTCGGGCCGGGGCGCGGGGCGCCGCTGTGCGCCGAGGCGGGCGGTGTGCCCGTGCGCTGCCGCGCGAGCCTGGCGCCAGCAGAGTGGGCCCAGCAGGGAGGCCCAGATCGGGCCGGACGGGAGGGGGGGATAGGGAAAGGGTCGGGGCTCAAGAGACCCCAGACCCCCTCGAGTAGTGAAAAAATCACGACGGGAGGTTTTTCGTCATTTTCAGCCTCTGGGGGCCCTTGCCGGGCCTCGGGACCGTCAAAAAACGATTCAGGATGAAGAGCCGGTCCCAGGGAAGGGGTCGAAACCTCTGGGGGTCGACGTCATGAAAAAATCATGACGTCGGGGCTCAAGAGACGGGGGTCAATGCAAACGAGGGCCAGCCAGAGCGCTGGATCTTGCAGGATCCTGCAGCTCCAGGGTCGCATTGACCCGGGTTTGGGTGCAGGATCCTGTAGGATTTTGCAGGGCCAGGGTCGCACTGGCCCGGGTTTGGGTGGAGGATCCTGCAGGATCCTGCAGGATCCTGCAAGGCCCGACTGACCCGGGTCTGGATTGACGCGGGTCAGCAGATCCCCGAAAAGGGAGGTTACGAAATGCTTGTAGCTGGTTTCGGCCCCACCGAGGGGCCCATTCCTCGATGCATATGACCGCCACACGCGCGCCTACGGGAGCTGAATCTCAAGCCCCCCCTTTGCTATCCCCCCCTCTCGCCCAGCCCGACCAGAGGCCAGAACGCTCTGAGCCCAGGCCTCCAGCGGCTCAGGTTTTCGCTGCGGGCGCTTCTCCTTCCGGCTGATTCTCAAGCGCCCCCTTTGGTATCCCCCACACTCGCCCAGCCCGACCAGAGGCCAGAACGCTCTGAACCCAGGCCTTCAGCGTACATCTCAACATGAGTGGGTACATCGCCATTTGAAGCGTTTGAATTTAAATTATATTATTGTATATGGCGCATGTGCGCCGACAGATGTTCCAACCTACTTTAGCCTTGATCACCAAAAAGAATTTCGAGCGCCAGAAAAGTACCCCAAAACTTGAGGGTGTTCACGTGTCGGGCCCTGGAAGACTCTGTTTCGACACTACTTCGACACTCTTTCGACACTTTTCTGGGTGCTCGAAAAATTATTTCTGGAATGTGGACCTCAACTACGAGGGCAGCAACAGAACCCCTCCCCCCCCTTTCGCCCAGCCCGACCAGAGGCCAGAACGCTCTGAGAGCCCAGGTCTCCAGCGGCTCAGCTTGTCGCTCGGCGGGCGCTGCTCCTCCCTCCGGCGCCCGGCCCCCGGGCCGCCGAGGCCCTCGAGGGCGATCGCCTCCGGAGCAAGGAGCTGCCGCCCCGGCAGTGGCCGAGACTCCCATATAGGCTTGAGCCGGGCACGCCCCCCTACGGGAGGACTATTCAAAAATAGTGAAAAATAATAGTGTGGCTTTTTTCCAAACAAAAAAACGATTTTGGGGCATGTTGGTTGCATGTGTTTGGCTCTTCGTCCACAGAGTGCACCTGTAGGGGGCCGCGCCCGACCTGCAGGCGGGCCCGGGGGCCTGCAGCCCCCTGCCGGGCAGCAGGCCCGCGGGAGTTCCGCCGCCCTGGCGGAGCTCCGCCGCCCTGGCGGAGCCTCCCGCCGGGCTCCGCATGCCCAGGACCTCCGCCGCTGCAGGGCGCAGCTTCTCTCGCCGGCCCTCGGCGCGCGCCCGCGGGCCGGACCTCCGGGGTCCAACCCGGGAGCAACGGCCAGGCCACGGGGTGGGCCCCCGCCCACGGGCTGGGCGTGGGCCCGGGCTGGGCCCCCGCCCACGGCCACGGCCGGGAGCTCAACGCGGCCCCGATCGGGGCCGCGTTTTGCTCCAGGTTCCAGCGCGACGGCGGGGCAGAGGCCTATAGGGAAGGCGCTCCCTCGCCGAGGATGTACCGAGGCAGGCGGGCTTGTAGCTCCCCTCGAGCCAGGACGGCAGGGCTTTCACCATGTTCGGCATCTGGGGACCCTTGCCGGACTACGGGACCGTCAAAGAGCGACTCGGGATGAAAAGCCAGTCCCGGGGAAGAGGTCGAGACCTCGGGGGGTCGACGCAGTGAAAAAATCATAACATCGGGGGCCTGGGGAGAGTGTCGATGCACGCCGGGAGGTCGGAGGGTCGGGCCCTGCCATCAAGGAGTCGACTCCACGTAAGAGTGACCTTTCGCCGGAGTGACCGCTTGTGAGGGCCCACAGGGGTCCCACAGACTGCAGACGCCGAATGCGATGCGATAGTTGCGTCTTGCGCGCTTGTGCTCGGTCCCCCCGCGGCCCCAAAACAGCCGCGCACCAGGTCACTCTTACCCAGGATCACTCTTGCGTGTAGCCGAGGGAGGACTGTCCCGGCCGTAACCTTACGGCGCGGGCTGGCCTCCCACACCTCATGCCCTGCACGGGGTGCAGGCAGCCCCGGGGGGGGGGGGGGCGGGGTCGCGCCAATGCGCGGGAGATCATGCTCGCGGACTAGGGTGGGCGGTTGCTGCCAGCCGCGACGCCGGAGTGCTGACTCTGGGGCACCAGTCGATGCTACACGTGCGGGAGGGAGGGGGGATCCTCCTCCTCCTCCTCCTCCTCCTCCTCCTCCTCCTCCTCCTCCTCCTCCTCCTCCTCTTCCTCCTCCGCCTGCTCCTCCTCCTCCTCCTCCTCCTCCTCCTCCTCCGCCTGCTCCTCCTCCTCCTCCGCCTCCTCCTCCTCCTCCGCCGGCTCCCCGCTCCTCGCCCCCCTTGTGCATCCGTGCGGCTCCGCCTCCAGCTTGCGCCCCTCGTGTGCGGTGGGTTGCGGGTCGCTCGTGGTCGTCGCGGCGTCTTCGAGGTATTCTTTTTGAGGTTGCCTCCTTTGCGCTCGGCTCCATCGCCTGCAAGAGTAGGAGGATGTACGAGGATACTCCTCGTCATCCTCCTCCTCCCCCTCAACCCCTTGAGGGAGGATGAGAGGATGAGGAGGGCATTCCCCCCCCGCTTCTTCCCTCCGCTCCTCCTCATCCTCATTCTCCTATGTTTTCCTTCTCCTCGTCTTCCTCCTTCCCGTCCTCCCGTCCTTCTCTTTCTAGCCCTGCTCCTCCTCCATCCCTTCCCCTTGAAAGTAGCTCCTCCCTGACGCACCCCCAGGCGTGTCGTCAAGGTGGGCTCTTCGATTCGCCTGAGACTTTCTTCCACCGTGATCCTGAAGCGTCACGTTCGCACTCACGTTGCATCTTCGGGGGATCTCGCATGCTCCCAAAATTAGTGTTGTCCTTCTCTTGTGCCCGACGCGGGTTCGATGCGGCCTAGACGCGGATTTCGCGTGCAGTCGATTAAGATTCGACACGGATCCGACGAGGCCGACATGGACTCGACGCGGATAGGTTCGCGATGGGGCAGACAAGGTCCCCCGAGGATGCAACAGAAGTTTGCAGCAGCTACAAGTGTGGATGGGGGCCGTTTTCATAATGGGGCTTCTGCCCCAACCGCGCGCATCCGTCCTCAAAAGCCTGCAGGCAAGAGCCCCAAGGAGGGAGGGCGGCTCGTTTTCCGAAGTGGGGCCCTCGCTTTCGAGCCGCGCATGTTTGTTTTTCCCCAATCAGTGCTTGCACTGAAGGGGTCCTAGCGGAAGCTGAAAGATTTGGCGAAAGTTTCCCGCTCCTCATCTTGTCCCTCTCCCTCTATTTACGAGGCCTTGATCCTCTCCGACGCATCTGCTGGGGTTTCGAACAGCCTTCATCACCACTGAACCTTGCTTCAAGCCGCCCGCTCATCTCACCTCGTCGACCGCACGCTGGCCTCCTCCACCCCTCCTCTCAAGCGCATGCGGCTCTGGTCCATCCGCAGACCCCTTTTGGCTTATCTATGATTAAGCCCGGTCCGCACCTCGATGCCTCAACGTGGCGCTTGAAGCCATTTTATCATTCTTGGGTCGAATGTGTGTGTGTGTGTGTTTGTGTGTGTGTGTTTTTCTGAGTTGTGCATAGTGCCACTTTTCTCTCGAGGCACTCCTGGTGTAGTATTGTGTTACTGAGTTGGGCAGTGGGCAGAGCTTCTGACACTTCGGCATGCGAACATGACCTTGTAGCTTGAACGTCCTGCCTTTGGGCATCTTATGTGCTATTAGCATTGCTCCTGCTCGACGCTGTTTTCGAGAATTGTTTCGCGCCTCCTGGTGGATGCAGACATCTTTGGCGCAGCTGTTGTGCATTGTTAGCTACGCGTCATCTGCATTGAGGCACATGTTCGGGAGGCGTCTAGTGAGCAGCACATGACATCGTCGCCTCGCTGATCGGGCTTGCCCGTCGCCTCGGCGCTGGAGGAATCATGAGAGGAGGGGGAACGCTGCATCCCATTAGGCTTCGTCAGCAATCCCACTCCCCTTCCCCCCCCCTCTCTCGTGCTCCTCCTCGCCTCCTATACAATTACACAATATGAAAATACTCTCCCACTTCCCCTGATGGCGTCCCGAAGATATCCGACCCCCCCCCCGCGTAGTGTTTTTTACACACAGGATTCCCGGGAAACGGGTTTTCGCTTGTGTTTTGTTTCAAAATGCTGCTCTCGCCGAGGCGCCAGCCTCATTTTCGGGCCCCGTTCGTTCCGAATCGTGCTCCCGCTGCAGCGCTGGCCTCATTTCCGTGCTTCCGCTCGTTCCGAATCGTGCTCCCGCTGCAGCGCTGGCCTCATTTCCGCGCTTCTGCCCGTTTCGACTCGTGCTCCCGCTGCAGCGCTGGCGTCATTTCCCGTGCCATGCCACAGCACACGCGCACACACGCACACACACGCACACACGCACGCACGCACGCACGCACGCACGCACGCACGCACGCACACACACACACACACACACACACACACACACACCACACACACACACACACACACACACACACACACACAACACAACACCACCACCAACCACCACCACCACCACCACACACCACCACCACCGCCACCTCCACCAGCACCAACCAGCACCACTACCACCAGCACCACCACCCACCCCACACCACCACACCACCACACCACCACCACAACCACCACAACCACGCACGCATGCACGCACGCACGCACGCACGCGCACCACCACCCACTAGTCCGCGGATAGAGAAATCAGCGCCCATGGTAAGGGATGGGAGGGAGGGGTAGACGTCAGATATGCCGCGCGCGCACCTAGCTTGTCCCCCCCCCCCCCCTCTCTCCTCCCCCCCCCTCCCCTTCCCGCCTGGAGAGGAGGGACGGCGCGGGGCGAGGAGGGCGGAGGCGAGCGCGCGCCCGCCGGCGCTGCTGTCGCCACAGCTCGCCTCCGCACTGTGTGGGCCCCGGAAACGGCAGGGCCGTTTTTCCACCGTTTCCAAAGACTGGGTAGTCGAAGGCCAGACTGTCAGATTGGATTGGGCCCCACGGGCCAATCTGGCCTGGCCAAACTGGATGATTTGGGTTATTCGCCAGACTGGATTCGCGTTGGCTCCCTCGCCAGATTGCCCCCGTTTGCCAGATTGGGCCTGCCAGATTGGCGCCAGATTGGCTTCGCCTACCCAGAAAGACTGTCCCTTGAAAATGGAAACGGCAAAAAAACGGCGACCAGAAACGGCAAAAAAACGGCTCGAGGACTGGAACCGGAGCCGGAGCCGGTCAACAAACGGCGACGGAGCCAGTAAAAAAACGGCGTCGGAAACGGCAAAACAACGGCAAAACGGACCCGGTAACAAAACGGCCTTGTCGTTTCCAGGGCCCATTAAGCCTCCGCATGCTTAAATTAGTTATAGGCGCAGTTCTTGCACCGCTCCGACGACCGCTCCGAGCTGGAGGCCCGGCTGTGCGACGCGGACCGCAGGGGCAGGGCTCCCTCTCGATTCCTCCGATGTTCGATGCGCTTCGATGCGGATGGCCTCCGATATTCCGATTCGGTTCGACTTCGCGTTCCGATGTGGGCTCCGATGTCTCACTAGAGGCCCACTAATTGACCTGCTGGTGTCTGCCGATTCGGCTTTTCCCGACTCGGTTGCGGTTTTCCGTCGGTCCGATTCATTTCGATCGCCGATCCGACTTGTCGATCCGATTCTGGGCTCTCCTGCAGGGGGGGGCGCGGGGCACGGCGTTGAGGAAGTTTCGAAAAGGTCTCCAGGAGGTCATGGTCTGGAGCGTTCGCTCAGCGCGTCGCGGGGCCAGCTCTGGCCCACCGCGCTTCGGCGCGTTACGCGGACCACGCCTGCAGCCGGGCGGCAACGGGCGGCCAAGGGGCGAAAGTTCGCCGGACCCACCCCGCGCAGGAGCCGGCAGCGAGGCGGCCACGGGCGGTACTGTCGTGCTGAAACCTCGACGGACCCACCCAGCGCACGAGGCGGCAACGAGGCGGCAACGGGCGGCAGGATGTCGAAACCTCGCAGGACTCGCCCAGCGCACGAGGCGGCCACGGATGGCAACGTGGCGAAACCAGCAAACGTTCGCCAGACCAGTCGAAAGGAAGAACCCCCAAGTGCAAGCACCGCATTGGGAACTGGTCATGCCGGTGCTAGATCCAACTATTATACACCCTTCGGGTGCTAGAATAATCGAGGCTGGCTACGCTGAGAAATGATTCGCAAAATCAGGTTAAGCTTGGATTGACTTGAGGAAGCAGAGTGCACGCTCACTCCATATCCTCATTACCAGCTGCCGTTGTGTACTGTTTCTCGCGGTGGTCTCAGCGTGTTCGGCGGCTTATTCTGTCGCTCTGACCGCAGCACGTCCTTCAGCACCGTGACATTGGAGAATTTGTGAGGGTGTGTTTTCAGCGTTGTTCGTCTTAATTTTGGGTGCCGGTACGCTTCCGTTGTTGATCTTGTTGTTGCATTATGGTGGCTTGCCCCCCATACTTTGTGTTCGCTTATGGTGTTTGGTCGCCAAACATTTAGCAAGGTGTTGCCATTGAGTAGTTATTCAGGCTGGTGTTTGGGAACATATGTTTTACATCGACGTTCGATTAGATCTCGTTAGACCAGCCAACACATCGATTTCCCGTGCGTTGTTCAGACACGCTGCCAGGAACGGGGTGGGTGGTACCCGGGGGTGGGGGGTGGACGAGCAGCAGCAGCATGATGAGCAGGAGGAGGGGGACACCCTCGGCGCAATACGCAGGTCTCGCCTCTGCGGGATGCTCTGCGATCCGCTTCGTTTCCTCTCCCCTTCTTTTCTTTCTCGTGCAGTACGTATACAACGGAGGGAGAGAGGCATGAAGCGACAGGAAAGGAGGTGGTGACTTGTTGGCCAGCAGTCTGCCTCCCAAGACGAATGCAGACGCAGCGTTGTCGAAGCCGAACATGCAGTGCTTTTTGGGTCACACAACGAGCACCTGCACGCCAGACTGTGAGGTTCATCGTGGGTTCTTCTTCAGGAGTGTAGCTGTAGCACGAGTTGGTAAGAAAGAGCAGCTACCAGGTCCTGTGAGTTAGAGTAGATCATGCCCATCTCCATCTACCGTTCATCCTTTTACTTTCTGCCCAGGTCAGCCTTGTCGTCCCTATGTGTTTTCCTCTGCTCCCTCCCCTGCATTCACACTTTGCGGGTATCGTCGTCGATCCAGCAGGACGAGCGGACAGGCTGGTGCACCGTGAGGACCGTTCTCTTCGGCACGGGCGGCATGGGAGTCGGGTATGGTGCGTAGGGATAAGAGGATGGAATAAAGATGCGAGACTGAACACGAGCTGGGGGAACCCAACGTGAGAGAAGTCACGACATTGCATGATAAAGCACAGTGGAACTGGGACCCCGAGAATCTTGCCGCCTACCCAAATCGGCGGGCTACCTTGACCTACTCTGTCAGTATCCCCTAGGGCTCCTTCAGTGCAAGCGCTGATCGGATAAAAACGTAAATCGAACTTTGGACCCCTACCTATCCTGAGGGCCCCATCCCTCATGGCCCCATCCTGAAAACGCCCGAGGAGTTGAGCCCATTCACCTGCCCCCTCGGCGGCCGAGCATTCGTTCGGCTGCCCGCTCGGCGGCCGAATGGGCTCAGACACTGGTGTAGCCCATTTGCAGGCTTGCAGCCTCCGGCAGGAGAGCACCAGAAGGGCGAGGGCCACTGGGCGCAGGAGGAGGAGGAGGAGGAGGAGGAGGAGGAGGAGGAGGAGGAGATGGAGGAGGAGGAGGAGGAGGAGGAGGAGGAGGAGGAGGAGGAGGAGGAGGAGGAGGAGGAGGAGGAGGAGGAGAGGAGGAGAGATGAGAATGTAGAGGAGGAGGAGGAGGGATGGTCCGTGGGGCGGGGGCGGGTCGAAGACTGGGCAGGTGCTTCTCTCCTGGTTGTTGGGGGGGGGTGTGTGGTCGTCGTTCCGAGAACCTATACTTTGGGCCTCTCGCGGACTCCGGCGGCGGGGACCTCCGGGGGTCTCCTGTCGGGCACAGCCAGGGCCCCAGGGTAAGGGGACCTGGCCAGTGTGGTAGGGCCCGACGGAGCCCCCATAGATTGGCCAGAAGCACTAAGCCAGGTCTGCCGTAGCTGGTGCTTGTGCTGGTGGCGGCAGTTCCAGTTAGTGGAACGGGCGGGGGGGGCGTCCCCCAGTTCGAGTGTTAGAAGTGCCCCTGGCCCAAGGTGCCCCCAGCATTTCGCTCCATTTTGGGGCCCCTGGGGCCCTCTAGGCCTCGTGAGGGGTGCTCTGGAGGCCGGCTGGGCCACACGGAGAATCCTGGGGGCACCTTGGGCCAGGGGTACTTCTAGCAACGCCCAGTACACATCACTAAGCCAGGTCTCACTAAGCCCAGTTCTGCCAACGCCCGATCCTGGGGGACCCTGCTGGGCACCCAGGCTCCTCCAAGGATTCTGCCTCCAGAGCCTCGCCAGGGGGAGGCGCCGGCTGGGGGGTGAGGTGGTGCCCCCCTGCGCCGTTCGGCGGCGGAAGCTGAGCCCTATGGAGGGTTTCTCTGAAAGGCCTAGGCGACCCGTCCTCCTCCTCCTCCTTCTCCTCCTCCTCCTCCTCCTCC